CATTAATACAAAAGCTGTATAGGATCCAGAATCTTTTAACATCCTACTAAATACTTCATTGAATTTAATGAAAAACCACTAATAAGACATTTTAAATATGATTTTTGAATAAGCAGTACATCCACTTATTCTTTTAAGCCAACCTTTTAAGTAGTATGCTAATCAGAATATCACGAGACACCTGCTGAAATCAAGATAAATTATATTTACAGTATTTCTATAATTTAAGCATATATGTTGTGAAGCTGACTTTCTTGGAAATACCAATATAGATCCAATGGGACTAGTTGATATTGTTTTTAAAAATGGGGACTGCTAATAACCTTTTTATTTCTTGACAGACGTATATTGATTTTGCAAGGATATTTGTCTCTTCTCAAAGGATAAAACTTGCCCAAATCTCAGAACAGCAAGTATATAGACCTTTGACTGATTTGGTATCTGCAAATATGCATGTGCATGCAAAGCCAATTTGGTGTAATGATTAGGGTGGTAAACTAGGAGCAGGGAAACCTGAGTTCAGGTCCTGCCTCAATTATAGAAGCTGGCTGGATAACTGGGAGCCAGTCACTTTCTGTGGACATAAAAAGAAAGCAATGGAAAACCACTGCTGAAAATGTTGCCAGGAAAACTGCATGGATTTGTGTTTGCAGTTGCCAGGACTCAAGACTGACTGACTTGAAAGCAAAAACAAAAGCAAACAAACCTGAAGATAACAAACAAACCAGATACCTAAAATATTCTAGTCATTTTTTATATTGCAGGTAAACCATGGCTTAAAACCATTTGTTTAGTGATCGTCTGAAATTACAATAGCACTGAAAAAAGTGGTTTATGACTTGCCCTCACATTTACCACTGTTGCAGCAACTTCACGGTCACTTTGCCAACTGGCATGTATTTACAACAGTTGCAGGGTCCTGGAGTCCTGTGATTGCCACCTACAACCTTCCTGGCTGGCTTCCCACAAGCAAAGTCAATGGGAGAAGCTGGATTTGCTTAATGATGGTCTGATTCACTTAACAATTGCTATAATTTGCCTAACAACTGTGGTTAAAAAAAAAAGTCATACAATCAGGTGTGACTCACTTAATCACCACCTAGTTCAGCATTGGAAATTCTGGACCCAGCTATGGTCATAAGTTGAGGGCTACCTGCCTTATAGAGCTGCTGGAGGCATTTCAGAAAGGAAGAGAGATACCAATTTTTTGTAATCACATTTCTGTACCCTCATGTAATATTATCAACATTTCAGAGGGATTTAAACAATACCATCTTTGAAGATACTATTCAATGTTTCCAATTGTCAATTCCTGCAAGATCCATTTTGGTATAAGAGTCTTCATAGTCCAGTATGCATTAAAGCAGAGTTCCTCAACATTTTCAACTTTGCGGACTGGCGGGGAGAAGGGATGGTTCTGCGTGAGCGGCGAGTAAGCTCACATGTGCCAGCTCCATTTGAGCGAGCAGCAGACACGCATGCATGCCACTCACACAAATGGAGTGCGTGTACACGCACTTGCCCGCAAGGGGGTGGCAGGAGTGCTTGCCTGCCACTTCGGATGGCCCGATTTTAAACAGCTCATAGCCCGGTAGTGGGCCGTGGGATTGGGGACCCCTGCATTAAAAATAAAAGTCAAACAAGAGGAAATTTTAAATCACATTATAATGGATTCTTATAGTTTACTGAGATTAATATTTCTTTACATATTCTGCAGCATTTGAATAATCAACATATGTAAAGTGTAGTTGATATTGAAAGCTTCCACTAAACAGATAACATTCATAAGATAAATCAGTGGATTAAATGCTTTTTCTTATCAGAGTTATTACCATATAGGGCTAGGAATGATTTTATTTTGCTTGATAATTTTATACATAAGCAGGATATTGGTAATGTTGTTACTAAGAATATATTTTAATTTTGCAAAGTATGGCAAACTCATCTTTTTTGCTAGGACATGAGACAATCTATTACAGTTCTTTTTGCAACTCTGAGTCTCATGCTGTTTCAAAAACTTTTATAAGATACTCTAATTCCTTTTGAAAATGTATATTGGGTGAATACAACTATATGATTCCAGCAATTGATCAAACATATCTTTAGAACCTCTAAGAAAAAAGAAAAAAAGCAGTAAGAAGACCTATAGACTTTAAACATATTTCAGTATATTTTCAAACAAAAAATTATGAACCCATATGAATCACACTGGGAGGCAGCAACTACAATTAATACAAGTAAGTATTGGAGCCACAAATAGCAGTGCTAAGAAAAACATAAAAATGACCACTTCAAAAATTAAAAGAAATGGCCTAACAACCCTCCCTCCTGAAATATTTTATTGATTTACAAGCTATATAAAACCACCCAACTCAAACAATGTGACTCTGGGCAGTGTACAGCATCAAAAACAAACAATAAACCATCTATCCCAATCCATATAACATTAAACATTTATAAAAAGGGCAACCAAGCAACATAGTAAAACTAACGGGACTCTCATTTGGCCCCTAAGGCGGTGGGGGAGCAGAAGGGGAGAGGTAGTTATTAACAGCTTGCTGAAAATGGAGCAGATTTGGAACCTGTCATATCTCAGAGTGAGATCATTCCAGAGAAAATGGGCAACTATAGAAAAAGGTCCCGTAAAGTGGTGACGCATAAAAGAAGAAACCTGGAGTATCCCATCCCTGTGTGGTGTGGCATGTGTAGTGGGCAGATGATCTTGAGAAAAGGCAGTCCTGCAAGTATTCTACTCCTATGCTATGTAGAGTTTTAGAGATGGTAATCACTTCTTTGAATCTCATCCAGATGTTTACTGGAAGCCAGTGAAATTCACAGAGTAGCAGTGTTACATAAAAACAACAAAATGTGTTCTTAACTACCCACTTGTCTGAATTCTGGAGTAAGTGAAACTTCCAGATGGTCTTCAAAGAGAGCCCCATGTACAATTCTAGTCCCACCTTAGCCATGAAAGCCAGATGGGTGACCTTAGGCCAGTCACACTCTTTTAGCCTAACTTACCTCACAGGGTTGTTGTTGTGTGGAAAATAGGAGGGAGTATTAGGTATGCTTGCTGCCATGAGTTATTTGTAAAAATAATGAAGGCAGGATACAAACAAACAAGCAAACATCTAGTCAGGGGGTAATTAAGGCATGAGTCACCATGAGCAGAGCCTCTGGGTCCTGGAATAAGTGCAACTGGCACACAAGGCACAGTTCTGTAAAATCACCACCTTCGCTGCCCAGGAATGCCGCTGAATTACACACAGTCTGAACATGGTAGTGCCACCCCATTCAGAACCAAAGATTGAAGTCCTCCAACTCCTGGATCTGGGATGCAAAACCCATAACCAATCAGTCTTGGCTGGGTTGAGTTGCAAGCTGTTCTTCCCTTTCCAGATCCTCATAGCCACCAAGCAAGGGGACAGTGACATATAACTGGGTATCATCCACATATTGATGAGTCCTCGCCCCCAAAATATCAGTATAAAGATGTGTCTCTGTGAAACAGATGAGTCTATGTTTCAGAGTGACTGAAGAAAATAAAAGATGAGAAAATTGCTCATTGAACATGAATCTAATTATGGTCTATATATGACAATTTATGCTGACAAAGAAAATTGATGACAAGGTATCAAAAATCTATACTGTAAGAAACATTCCAATTAAAATTGAGTGGTTCAGGTTTGTTACAAATTTGCTAAAAAATTGTACAAATTCTGTACAGTGGCCAGATGAAGGAAATGTGCTTGAGCTGTTACCAAAATTTTTCTTTCAAATAGAATTTGATTGTTAAAATGGCACAGAATGACCAAGTTACAAGACTCAAGTCAGCTAATCATATATTAAAATGCAAATTATTTAGCTATTTCAACTTGTGTATGGCGTGCAGAAAAATAAAACATCTGTAATAAACAAAAACAGTACAGCCCATATGCTGATTAAAACAAAGTTGATTACTGGGATGTCTGTAAAAATTAAAATAGCACCACTGCATTAATTTTGCCAGCTTCTAAATATAGAGCACAGGAATAATATGACAAACACAAAACCTAATCCAATACCAGGAATAAGTACTGATTTTCAGTCAAGATAATCAGGCTTTAATCTTGCCTTGGCTATAACTGAAATCAATTGACTTTTGATAAATCATGTTATTACTGAAGGCTTCTGAGAAGATAAAAATGTGAGACTCTCCTAGAAATGGGACAGATGGAATGAAACTGTATGTCATTATTTTCCTTACCCCCAATGCATTTTTCCAACAAAGTACTATAGCAAAATTCTTCCATATAGAGGTCCATTCCTAATATAGCCCAGTATAAGATTCAGTATGCTATCCAATTCCTTAACTGGCAAAATTTGAAAAACTATATCCCAGGGTGGCCAGTACAAGATTTCTCTGAGGTACTGTTTATTTAAATGTGACGTAGTTATTTGCATAGGAGATCTGAAAATGAGAACTGGCAGTTAATATATATTTTTAAATCTTTATAAAACATTCAGCAGATTTCATAATTTCAATTTTAGGCCTATTTTCTACAGAAGAAACGTTTGTAAGATTGACTGCCAAGTTTTACAACCAAGAAAACAGTTGAGGCAACTTAGCTCCTTGAAGCTGAAATGGAGTCCTTAGCTTTATAGGCCAGTTTGTCTGCTTTAGAAATCCAAAGTTACACAAGTCTAAGAGAGAACTTGAAAACTAGGCACCTTCTTTTGATGCCTGAAACCAGCAATGACAAATATGACCATACCATCTTGAAGTTCTTTACGGGGATATGTATTGGATGCGTGGGGAGACAGATCAAGTGAAGGTATCTGTTATTAAACCATCAATTTATTTATGAAACATACCAAAAGCAAGCTTATGAGATACACATAGCTGCTTTTTAGGCATGCCGGGGTATTAAAATACAAATGAAACCCAAGAACCTTGCACAGCTGATCTAAGTCAAAAGAAAATGTTTCTTATTTTGCTGAAACATTTGTTATAAGCCTACCTGACGTTTTGGAGAATTTGCTGTGCTGGGATTGATATTCCGCAACGCCTAAGAGTAAAAGAAATAAGATGGGTCAACATTACTTTTTGTGTCTTATGACAGGGATGGCTAGGCTACCTTGACTTACTCATCATCTTCTTAATGTTCTCAAGAGGGAAGCTCCTAAAGCAGCCACCGATGACAAGGGATAAGGTGATTAAGAGATGACAAAGTTTGCTGCATAATGGAATAAGACGCTCAGGAGTGCTTACAGAGCACATGGAACACATTTTGCTTAAACACATAGGGGACAAAAAGAAGTAGTGTGGACACTGCCTGGCCTGAAGTTAGTTATCTTCTTGAGAAGAAGATATTGAAGAAAAGAAATCCCAAATTAGAAGCCTTTTCTAAAAGCATGCTGGCCTGGCGGCACTTGAATTTGTTTGATATTAATAGCAAAGCAGTTATAGGCAAAGTTCGGAAATTTCAGCTTAGGAAGCTGTTATTTTGAACTTGTCCAGAGGCAACTCATGATAATTAAAAAAGAGAGAGAGAGACATCCCATAACCATCCAATTTAAACGGAGTATTATTCCTTTAAATATTATTTTAGTATTAAGTCTAACTGCCTCTAGAACAAGGGCAGAAAAAGCAAGGAATGATGAAGGCAAAAGCCTGAAGAAGTGATCTCCAAGAATAGGAAAATACTGCCTGATGCAAGAACCACCACCCAAAAAGCAAGGAAAAAGAGGTTTTAAAAGGATTCTCCAAAAGCGGTTAGGAAATCTGCAATACTCCACAACCCTCACAAAACATGACGCAAAGCACTGGAGACAAGGAGCTAATCAATCATTAGCAAAAGATCTAGGACAGTAAGCAATGACTGAGAGCAAAGGTTTTAGAAAGTAAGCTTCATTGTTTCTTTGAGTCACAAAAAAAGCAAAAGCAACAAATCAGCTTACATTTAAGCATTTAAGAAAAGTATTATGGTTTAAAAGAACTAAATTTAAACTGAAGTAAAAGACCTTGGTTAATCCGTTTTAAAGTTCTGTTCTGAGAGTTACTAATGTTACTGCCACCACGTAAACATTACCTAACATGGATGAATTTCTCCCTTTCATTTTCTCTCTTATGAAGCACACAGAGAAGCTGTTCATAATGACCTATGTAATTTAGCACTTTGACATGCATTCTGCAAGAATTCACATCCATGGGAGAGGGCTCAGTAAAGTACCATGATGACAAGTTTCCTGAATTTCATTATTTTATGGGATTCACTTCCACAAGATCTGTTGACAGAAACAGGCTTAGATAACTTTTTTTTTTAAAGGTTTAGGTATATTTGGAGCATCGATTCTTCAAGGACTTTTAAATTATGTTACCCAAAGAGATAAATATTTTTATATTTAAGTTCTAGGTGCTTGAGATAGGTAACAGGGCCAATATCCTTAGGCCTTGCTTGTCAACTTCCAAAACCTCCTCCTGGTGACTACTGACAGAAATGGAACAATGCATCATGTCCTTAAAAACAAGGAACACCTTCGTTTTTACAGAAAGGCTGAAGTTTCAATGCTCTTCACAAACACAGCAAGACCAGATCCAATTCACACATGCCATCCACCATGAAAGCTGGAAAATTCAGTCAGAGGAGCTCTGACCATGCAGAGCATTAATATAGTTGCAGAGCTACTCAGCAAGTGGTCCAGGGAAGCAGAGTTATCAGCAATAAAAAGAGCACCATGCTAGAAACAGCCCAGCACCACAAACCGTCACAAAGAAATATTCTGAAAGGATCAAAGAGTCTCATTCGTTGCTTGCTGGAGCAAGTTATACAATTTGCGGCTTCCTCTATCTACTGATGCTTGCTAGAGTTGCGGGTTGAAAAAGCACAATGCCACTCATGCATATGCAACAAGTATCGTATGAGAGTTGAAGTGTGTTTTCTAACCTGTGGCCTCACCTGCCGAAGCAGTTCTTGATGTTTCAGTCGCAACCTTTCTTTTTCCATCTGCAGCTGCTGCAGTCTTATCTGTTGCTGTTGACTGGAATTGCCCCCTCCCAGGACTCCACCAGGAGGACTTTGGGGGGCCAGTGGTGGTGGCTGTTTCACTGGAGCGCTTTGGCTGATTCTCTGGTTCATAGCTGTAGAAGCAAACAAAAGAGCAGGCACTGTAAAGCAGCCTTATCCCAAAGATCCTCATGTTTTGGAATCTACAGAGCACGGCATGCCAGAACCCAGGCCACACAGACAAGCGAAGCCCCTTCCACGGGATGCACGCAGCACATGAAACCAGTTTGTGGAAAAACCTCTCCCCGCATAACCAGTCCCTGGTGCCCAAAAGGTTGGGAGCCGCTGCCTTGGTTGATTTAATAAGGGAAGAATTAGGGCCAAATATAATAGTCTCCCCACATTAACAGACTTTGAGAACAGGAAGTGATAAGTCAGAAAAGAAATAGAATAAGAATTCCCATTAGCAAGTACAAATATATCTTGTTTATTATTTTTAACGCTAAAGTAGCCCCACAGTGAGTTGGGTGGCCAATATAGGTAGTCCTCAACTTACAACAGTTCATTTTTTGACCGTTCAAAGTTACAACAGTAATGAAAAAAGTGACTTATGATCATTTTTCACACTTTAAGACCATTGCAGCATCCCCAGGGTCATGTGATCAAAATTCAGGTGCTGGACAACTGACTCATATTTATAATCGTTGCAGTGTCCTGGGGTCATATATCTTTTGAAATCTGAAAAGCAAAGGCAATGGGAAAGCCAGATTCATTTAACAATTTTGTTATTAACTTAACAATTGCAGTGATTCACTTAACAACTGTGGCAAAAAAGGTCGTAAAATGGGGCAAAGCTCACTAAACAAATGTCTCACTTAACAACAGAAATTTTGGGCTCAATTGTGGTCATAAGTTGAGGACTACCTATACATTTAACAAATAAATAATGCTAACAAGAGATGGAAAAAGGCAAATTTATGTTTTGAGTTCACCAACACACATTGGAAGTTTAAATCTGAAGGGATAATAATGCAGAGGAAATTCTAGATGAATAGGGAAAGCAAAATTATCTTCTTAGTACTTCTAATAAAGGCCATCCAGATGGGTCTGTCTGTCTGTCTGTCTGCCTCTCTCTCTCTCGCTCTCTCTCTGAATTTCAAAGAGATTGCCAATACTGCATAAAGATAAATTCTAGAGATAGCTTAAAATTGAAATCATAATATCAGTATATATGTACAAAATTTAGTTTATGTATCAAAGGAAGTCCTTAGAACATGGCCATAATATATAGACATTATGTGATAAATATTTAGTGATACCTTTATTATTTCCAATATTATTTCAAGTAGAATAAAATGGCTTAATGAAAGGAAGAAACAAACTGAATTCAGTATAGCAGTTGAAGAGAAAACAAGGTCAGAAACTCCATAAATCTGGTTTATATCCAGCATTCTCAAAATCTGTTTAAATTATCCAAGCAGTTGGGCAAAATGTCTGCTTTTCCAATTATATGTTTTAGTCAGCTGGGTTGCTCCTAGGTCATAGAAATAAAATACATTTAAGATAAATATAGGCTCATGTAGAAAATGTGCCAGTTTCCATTTTGGTTGTAAACAGACAACCATCAACCAGTTCTACTGGGCTGTAAATCAAGATGAGGCTTTTTTTACAGGCGTGTGATAATAAGAACCAAACATTTTCAATCTCTCAATTGATTCTAAGCCAGATCTAAGATATACAATGATTAACATTTATGAGCACAGTGTCTCTAATAACATCTCTGATAAAGAGAAATAAAGACACAAAAGTACTACTCAGTCTCTGCATTCTATCTCTATAATAGGAGATTAAAAGATGTGAAAGCAAACACTTAAAAAAAAAACATTGAGAAACATCTTTGGGCAGTGAGTCCAAACTCTACAACAGAGGTCCCCAACCTTTTGGGCACCAGGGACCAGTTCCATGGAGAGAGGTTTTTCTGTGGACCGGAGGGTGCGTGATTTTGTGTGCTGCCTGCATCCTGCGGATGGGGCTTTGCTTGTTTATGCAGACCAGTTGCTGGCATGCCGCGGCCCGGTACTGGTCCATGGACCGGGGGTTGGGGACCCCTGCTGTACAACTTTCAATCCATGAGTGAAATAGAAAAATAACACTAAAAGCTTTTTTATATAATAAAATGTATTTTAAAGAGATTATTAACAGAACAGAATAATTCTGTCGAGGAAGGAAGGAGCGGATGTTAGACCAGAAAAAAAACCATACAAATTAAGTTTCAACTGTGCAAGTCTCCCATAGGGGATCCTTTTTTGAATAGCTTCAATGCCTCTTTAGCGGCTCAAAACATAACCGCTTTTTAAATGGTGCCTAAATTGAGGAAAGGGAAAAAGTAAATATGTAGTCCTTTATCTACTAGAACTTGGATTTATCTGTTTCCTGTTCTTTCTTTTCTTGGGTAACAGAGAAGTATTTAAATATGGGGTTCTACACCCACACGGGGCAAGTAGCAAAGACCTCACAGGCAGACAAGAAGAAAGCAAGTCTTTGTTTCACAGAGGATTTAGGAGGAAAAAGGATTTGGAAGAAGTGAAGGAACAAGTTAGTAATGCACTGTTTACCTATCTTAGTTTCATGAAACCACCATGCCTTTTAACAAGGATAATTTTAGGAAAGAATGTTGTCTAATCACTTTCTTGCTGGTCTAATGCAGTACATTATCCAGTTATTCTTCTGAAATTATCAAAATCCAGTCTATTATACATACCCTACTCATTCTGTCTAAAAGACAACTGTACAGTATTTCTTTTAAAAATAAAATAAAATCTGAAGACCAAAATCCTGGAAACTCTTAAATACCTAGTAAATACAAAGAACCAAATCATAAACAAGTATATCCATGTTTCTTTAGAACTAAATCCAACTATGTTCAAAGGGCTTTATACTCCGGTTAAGTTGTATGTGGGATTTAATGTTATGTCTATTTCAAACAAAAAAAGAACTGAAAAGGTTCTTTATTTGAACATTCACATTTTATATATTATGGGCAAACTTAAAAGGCACAAGTCGCAATAGAAAAATGGAAGACTATGCTAGCTTTAGACACTTAATGGAATTTTCTCCAGGATTCCCATATCCATATAGATGGAAGGGTACTGGTTTCAATACAGTCTCATAAGTATTTATGACCATATACACCTATACACAAAAAAGGTATTTCTTTATGTTAGTCATTTGATATAACGCAAAGCAAAAGTAGGCAGATCTTATTTCTATATAAGAGAATCTCTATTTGTATAAGTGAATTAAAAAATGGTTCCTCTGTAGCCTTCAGTGAGAAGTTTAATATAATGTATCACTAAGCTGCTTGACTTTTCAGCAACAGTTTCACGGAGGAATTGTGGATTTTGAAAATGGTTAAGAGATACCTAGAGCGCCACTGAAGGAAGATGAGGGATGACTCTAATTGGACATGACTCAGAGCTGCCCTTAAGGCCCATGTTGTGTCAGTTATGAATGGTGAAATATCATTTATCTGCCCTTATTGTGTCCGCAGGGTACTGCCAGGTGGCTCTGTTCAGGATCTCTTGGTCCTTCCTGAGATTGCTATGTGTGTGTGTGTGTTTTGGATGATCATCTTCATGGTTGCAGAGGATTTTGTTCCATACCTGATGGACAGAGTCACTCAAATTTGTTCCCAGTTGGAACCTGTGTGTGGGTTCATGTGAAATGTCTGGAGAAAGATTTTACCTAGTTACCTGGGAACAGTTCAATCCTGCTGGACTTGATGAAGTTGGCAGGGTCCTAGATGCTGTCAGTGCAACTGCCTGTCAGTTAGATCTTTCTCCTTCCTGGCTGATGACAGTTTCCAGGATGGTGACCACCAGATGCCTTTAGGAAGTAATTAGTTCCTCACTGCAGGAGGGGACGTTCCTGGCTCTGGGTTGCCCCCTTCTAAAAAAACATCTCTTGACCCCACCTTCCTGGACAATTTTCATCCAGTTTCCAACTTTCCCTTTTTAGGGAAAGCGGTAGAGAAGGTGGTTGCTTGAAGAGGTCCCTGGATGAAAGGGATTATCTGGATCCCTTCCAGTCAGGTTTCAGGCCTGGTTACGGGGCAAAAACATTTGATTCCATTTGTTGATGATCTCTGATGAGAGTGAGATGGGGGTGGTACAAACATCCTTATTCAACCTCTCAGAAGCCTTTGATGCCATCAACCATGGGCCCACTGTTTGAGGCTGGGCATGGCTCCTTTCTTCAAGGCTGGTCCCAAATGATAGGGAGTGAGAGATCCAATTCACTTTAGCTCCTTGTGGGGTGCTGCAGGGCTCAGTATTGGTACTCTCCTCTCCACTCCTCTTTAGCTTCTACATGAAGCTGCTGGGTAAAGTCATATATCATCATAGGTTGAAGTTTTATCAGTACGCAGATGATACCAAATACTCTTATTTCCAACCCTGGTGACCCAAGTGATGTTGTTGCCTTCTTGTAGTGGCTGGAGGCTATGACGGTCGGGATGGGCCCAACAGTCTTTGACTAGCAAGACCGAGTGGCTTTATGTACATGAACTTTTGAGATCCAGGAGTTCAGCATCTCCAATTCTGGATGGGGTTGCAGTACCCCAGTCAGAGCCAGTGCGCAACTTGGGGTTCTCCTGGAACTCGCGACTTCTGCTCAAAGAACAGGTGGCAGTCCTGGCTGGAACCACCTTTGCACAACTCTATATTGTACGCTGGTTGTATCCTTTCTTGGATTAGGAGTCCCTGTATTCAATCATTCAAGCCCTGGTCAGCTCATATCTGGACTACTGCAATGCATTCTACATGGGGCTACCTTTGAAGAGTATTTGAAAACTAAAATTAGTGCAGAATGTGGTGGTATGAGCAGTTCTTGGGGCCTCTAGGGTGGCCCTTGTTACATTGATGTTCTGCAAGCTGCACTGGCTGCTGTTTTGCTTCCGGGTGCAATTTTATATGTTGGTTATCACCTTCATGGCATAGATCGATTTTTGTTTAGATTCTGACATTTTATTAGACATGCTCATGATTTCAGAATCTCTATACTACTAAGGCCAAGAACTCACTTTTACATTACTTGAAAACTAACAAATCCTAATATGTCTTATCACTGTTACTAA